GCCCCCCTAGCTGCCCTATAGCTCTTTGTACACATGTTGATTATATATACATATATATAAAAACACATGCAGATATGTGTAACAAAACATGTTGTTGAACTATGCAATGCAAGATTCTTTGGGTCGTGGACCACCATGTACCCAGAGCTCCCAGGCTTGCGGCTTCACCGTCTCCAAACCGTAAAGTTGCTCAGGTGGAACCTTTGGGTGTGGTGGTGCAAGGTGTTGCGGCGGTGGGTACGGGGGCTGGGTCGGCATCGCTTTGGCTTTTGGTGGGAGTGCTGGTTCTGGGACATTGGGCTCTGGTGGGCTTTGGGATGGCGGTGGTGCCTGGCCCAGTGGAGGGGGGGTGGGCGGAGGGCCTTTCCAAGGCGGCTGTTCTGGTGGTGGTGCCCACTTGCCCCACGACTCGTCTTCCTTCGAAGCTTTCGAAGGGGGCGGCTTCGCCAGCTCTGCCACCAGGTACTTGTTCGTCGCCATTTTCTCATGCCATTGCCCGTCGAGCGAAGCCCGGGCAAGCTGAGCGGCATCTGGCGAGTCCTTTGGTTTAGGGTTTGGGGGTTAGGGGTTTGGGGTTTATAGGGTTTAGGGTTTAGGGTTTATGTAGGGGTCGCAAGTAATTTTTCTCAAAACCAAGTTGCGAACTCTAAGAAGATCGAGCAGTGATCAGGCTTGCTCTGCTTCTTCTCCCAGTAACGCTCCCGCACCACTTGTATGTTCAGGCAATCCAGCACCCCAAGCTCCTCGATCGCCGCCCTGATCGCCTCGGCTCTCTCTCATGTAACTACATATATGTATGCCTGTCTATATGTGTACCAACCTCACCCTTTGTATATATGTGTAGATATAAGCATATATAATTAGACACAAAAGAAAAGTAATGAGTGTCAGATTGTGGCCAATAGACGTGTATTGAGTTTATCTATATCTACATATTGTGTACATATAAAGTATATATGTTAAACCCTAAACCCTAAACCCAAAGCTACTTTTCTTTCGAGTGGCCCACTTCGTCGCACTGTACGTGACATTCTTCACGTAGACACGGTAGCAGTCGACAGTAGCCATGGCCGCGAAGCAAAACTTGCTATATATGTGTTAGAACACCCAAAGTGAACAGCCTTTATTCTTTGTGGATAAAAATGTGCCTAGAGCCTAGCCCCGGCGCCGAAAGCCTGACACCCGAAACTCGGTAATGGCTTTGGGTTGTATGCTTTAAAAGTCCAGAGCATCTATGCGAAGCTATCTACAATCCAAACCTTCTACAAATACTGTGAGGATAAGCCGCATCGGCACATGGTGGTGACATCGTGTCGAACACATCGTGTGTAGGAGATACTACGTCGCAAAACTAGAGTCTCTCCTGCTGTAAAGGAAACAGCGACCACGGCCACAAGTTTCGGCTCCAACATCATCTCGCAAAAAAGCCTCGATAAACCTCTTCAGCCGGCATTCTCTGCACTCAAGCAATTCCAACTCGAAAGTGTTAGACATTGGAGAATGTTTTTTTGGGGGCTCACAAGGAATCCGGGCTGTCGGTTTGCGGTTTAAGTTTGGGGAGTCGGGTTTGGGGTTTCGGGTTTTGGGGTTTATATAGGGTTTATGGGTTTAAAATTAGTTTTGGGTTTTAGGGCTTAGTGAGGGTTGAGGGTTTTTGTGAAATACTGCTTTAAAGGCAAGACACACTCGCAGGTAGATCTCGCAAGTAACACAAAGCTCCCCATCGCATGTAAAGCTGCACAAGGAAAATCTCGCAAGTAACACAAAGCTCCCCATCGCATGTAAAGGTGCACACAAGGAAAATCTCGCAAGTAATATACAAAGCTCCCCATCGCATGTAAAGGTGCACACAAGGAAAATCTCGCAAGTAATATACAAAGCTCCTCACATCGCATGTAAAAGGAAACACTCGCACAGGTAAAAAGCAGAACTCATCGCAAGTACATATACAAAAATCACCGTCGCAAGTAAACCTGCTTTGAGGCTTTAGGCTATTGGTGGTTTCGGGGTTACAAAGGCTTATATATACAGTATATGATAGGGATCAAATACATATATCACACAGAACAGGAAGCACTCAACCTCACACACACACACAAATGCAAGAAACATTTTTTCTCGCAGTCATTGCCCCTCTGCTGCCGGAAGGTTCACCCTTTTTGTGCTTCTCACTAAAAGGGCCAAAGATGCATTATGCTAAATGGCATTGTGGCAGATGTAGTGCTCTACATGTAAACGAAAGACATATAGAAACACACCGTGACTAGCACCCATGGGTTTTCTCAGATTTGTGGGAAAACAAACCACGTTTATATACAACATATATATGCTTGAAACTCAGATTGTTATATAGTCTACAAAGTTCAGAAAACCCAGGGTGCACATCACATCCCGCACTGAACACATTTTGGTTTTCAAACCCCCAGCGACTTCATGACGTCCTTTCGCAGCTTGTAGAGCTCCAAGAGCGGGATGCCCTGCTCGACGTAGGGAATCATCTTCTCGATCACCTCATGATGCTTCGGACAGCAACTGGAAATGATGCTCCTCAGCTTGCCGCCGTTATCGTAGTTGCGGATGTAGGATTTCTCAGAGTAGAACTCTACCTTGCAAGATCCGTACTTTTCGGCGGACAGCCATTTGTTAGACGGCGAAGTCGCCGCCGCCGGCTTCGGCTTCGCCGCCAGCTTCGCCACCTTCGTCTTCGCCGCCGACTTCGCCTTCGCTGTGGCTTTGGGCTTGGGGCTCTTCTCTTTCGGCTTGCCGGTGGCTTTGGGCTTCGAAGCACCCTTCTTTTTGGCCACAGCCACAGACACCGGCGGCATGAAAGCCATGGCATTTTTGAGGATGTCCAAGTCGCACTCATCCGTGGAAGAGATCACTTCCACATCCTTGGCCGGCTCAGCCCCGGCACCAGTCTTGATCTTTGCCTTTCCTGCCTTTTTGTTCTTTGCCTTTGTGGCCTTCTTCTTCAGGGTGCCCTTCTTCATAACGATCTTCTTCGGCTTGCTGCTCTTATGGATGTGCACAAACTTCTCCGCAAACTTCTTCGGCTCGCTGCTCTTCAAGGTGTCCGGAAACTTGGTCGGGCTGCTGTTCTTAAAGATTTCCGGCAACTCCGGGAACTCAGCATCCTGCAAAGGAGTAGGCTTCTCGTCACACCGAAAGGGAACAGGCTTCTCATCCTCCTTCACGGGAACAAGGGCCGTGCTGGGGGAATCAAGAGGCTTCGGGGCAAACTCCTGCACCTGCACCCTTTCCAGGCAAAGGTCAAGCTTCCTGATTGTATGTTTGCACAGACTTAGATAAAAAAGTTTGCAACACTTTTCTTTCTTCCGTCACACGAATTATATATATACAGCGAAAAAACACGAAAGACATATGTGCAGCCACGGCACACTTGATCCTCGTGCGACAGGGACCTGTAGACTTTCCGCTTGAAGCTCTCCTTCTGCTTCATCGCACGGAGGTGGCTAAGAAGAAGACGGATGGCGGTGTCCATCTTGTCCACAAGGTCCTCTGCCTTGTAGTCTTTGTGGCCTTCGAGCTGCAGGTTCTTTTGCTCGTGAAGGATCCAAAAGCTTCGGGTAACCCGCTGCGACAACAACTTCGTGTTCGGGGCGAGGCGAAGAAGGTCAAACAGCAGCCCAGCTGTCTTTGCCAACCACGGACCGTGGACGGCAGTGTGCCAAGTGTAGCTTATTGGCCCGCCCGGAGGGGGGCACAGTAAAGGCCACAGGTCCTTCGTCTTCTTGAACTCGAGAAAGCCCAACACCACCTTCGCCAGCTCCGTTGCTGTAATAAGCGGATCGGCAACCACTCGGTCCTTGGCATTTTTGCCCGTTGCAGCGGAAGCGCCCTCCGCCAGCTTGACCGAAGCTGCAGCTGCTAAGGAAGCCATGCTCGCAAGACTGTATATACTGTGTATGTATAGGATTTATGATTTCTCAAAAAAATGGAATGCATTTGTCTCTGTCTCCATCCAGCCTCGCACTTACCTCTGGGTCTCGTCTGGACCAAACACACAGCTGCAACGTCCGAAAATTTTTCTCACTCTCGGATCTCAGAAAAGTATATATATATATATATAAGTAGATCTCTCGCATGTAACCTACAAGAGTCTCGCACAGGTAAAGGTGGACTCCTCGCAGGTATAAACTATATTGTGATGACTCTCGCAAATGTACATGTACCGATTTCTCGCATGTAAAAAGCACACATCGCAAGCAATCCGCCGGCTCGACCCAGCACAGAATCAAACCGAGCTGCGATTTCAACATGGAAAACCATGGCTTAACAAGTATGCTTGCAACACAATTCTCATAATTTTATCTTCACACCTGACCATGCCGCACTGTACAGTCGCAGGAAAATCTCATGCAATCAACAAGCAGAACCATGATAAAAGAAACAAAACCAACCAAAATTAGCTTGCATTTCACTTCTTCAAATTCGGGAATGTGTAACCTAAAAACATGTATTTTGCAGTGTAAAAAAATTTACATTGCAGTGTAAATTTTTTACTATACAAAGTAAATTAATTTACACTTTTTTTTTACGTAAATTTTTTCGTAAATTTGAAGTGTAAACCAAGCTTTGTTTAGTAAATTGCTCGCCACCTAAAATTAGGTAAACAGCAGGGTCAGGGTACGTGCTGCCTCGAAGCCTGCATGCAGGGTGCGTGCTGCCTTATACTTGTACGTGCTGCCTGGCAACGCAGCGTGCTAGCTCAAAAAAAAATTTCACGCATGTCGCGCGACGTGCCGACCGAAAAAAGTTGAGGCAGCATGCACTTATTTTAGAACCCCGGCGAAAGCGCCTAAACCCCAAAACGTCGAAGCATCTCGAAAAAGACCACATGCTGCCTCGATTTGGGAGAGTGCGTGCTAGCTCCGCGTTTTGTGTTTGGCACGTGCACGCACCACCCGCACGCGCGCACGCGAGACAGCAGCCGCGCGGTGAAGCGGAATGCGGTCCACACCCCGAGCCCCAACTCAGGAATGGCGGAGACGACCTGGTTCACGGAGCGCCTCCGTGAGCTGTGTGAGCACCTGGGCCTGTTTCCTGCGTGCTGCCTCGTACAGCGTGCTGCCTCCTGCCTAATGATTTGCTTTCTGTCCTGCCAGGACCGAGCCGGATTCGAGGGATGCCCTCCGAGCGAAAATCCGCGAGAAGATCGAGTTTGTAGATTCGTGCATTCAGCACGGACGTGCTTTGGGTCAGATTGCTTTGTCAAAAGGACTCTGGGAGGCACCTTCGGCTGTGCTTCGTGATCAGAATGTCCCTTTCTTCATACGACAACACAAGAGTTCGGTTGCTCATTCCTGACACAGGAGGCTGTGGCTAAGTTCCGGAACAGATGCTCCGAGTTGGGTCTGCCACTGCGGCCAGAGCTCTTCCATGACCCGGAAGAAAGGCCAGAGGCTGCAGAGCCGCAGCAGCTGGCAGAAGCTGAAGCCACATCCGCCTCGGCAAGTTCACCAGAGAAGATTCGCAGCCCTACGAAGATTCTGTATCTCAAAGCCGCAGCTGGAATCAATGGTGTACTGCAGCTACACAAGGCCATGAACAAAACAACATGCACTGCACTCTGTCGCATCCACATGTCAAGCAGGCCCTGGATGCCACTCTTCAGGGGTATGTTCATTTATGGAGAGTTGAAGAGATCTGGACAGTGTTGCAGCGAACCCAAAAGTTCCACAACTGGTTCAGCAAGCTGTCTCCTGGCAGCAGAGCAGCTGTGCAAATGTCGTCTCATTCTGTGGCCCTGTAACCTCAGCTTGCTTTTTTGGCAATGAGCAATGAAACCTAAGGCCTGAGCAGCAGGGCACCCAAATTGCAAAAGCCTGGAAAGTGGATCTCGGTATCCATTTGCCACGCCGGCAAGATTACAAAGGCAAGATTGACATCGTGCCTGAGTCTCGGCTCGTGCTGCCCTTTGATGCTATGACCACACCAGGGCTGCTGTTTGCAGCTCCTTGCTTCAAGACAAAGCCCTGCCCCACCCCTACCCCTACCCCGTAGAACAAAACACAACCGGAACTAACAAGTTGCGAGACACACGTGAGCAAATTCAGAGAAGCCCTTTCCTTCGCTCATGCTTAACTAAAAACAAACCTGTAAATAAATTGCAGCCAAGGTTGGAGTTGGTCTGCAGGTCCGTGGCTGTAAGCCGCCGCTCCAGGAGGCGGCCATGGGATGCCTCCACGTGGTACTGGCAGCTTGTGTGCCTCGGGATCTGGATCTGGACCTACTGCCAGGTTGCCCTGACTGTACCCCGTCGGCAAAACCGGTCACTGTCCAAACTACATTCAGGAAGCTTTCCTGGGCTGTTGCCTATATGTCTGTTCAGGTTTGATTCGTGTGCGCAATTACGAAGTCCAGCTCGACAGCCTGAATGACTTCCTAGAGTTCACCAACCTCAGACAGAGGACCGCACTACAGAACAATCTTGCTGTCCCTGTGGGCCTCATGTTTTCAGGTGGAGGTTTACAAAAATCTTCACCAAGGGCCAGCAGAAACTGCAGACAGGCGACGATCTCAGGTACATGTAGTGCGGCGGGTGCTGCTGCCTGTTGCGATGAAGCATTGTTTTGCCTCTTGTCTTAGGCATCAAACTGCACGTGCTCGCATGGTTTCTGCTACGTGTGCCCTTCCTAGACAGCTTCGAGGACCCGGTGTCTTTCACCCAAACCCAATCCGCTGGATAGCTTGAAACTCTCACGCCAGGACATCAGCTACTCCCGCCTTCAACGGCGATTGCTCCACCGCCTCAGCCAAGCAGCCGAGCAAAATTTCCCCGCAATCCTTCGACCTGACCTACCTGTTCTGCAAGCAGACCATAAACTGCACCCGGCGAAGAAGTGTCTAGCCACCAGCATCTACTTTTCAGATAGTGGGACGGTGCCTTGTGCATGCATTTCACCATGTTAACGAAAGCTTGCAATCCGAGGGACGGTCGGCATCTGCGGCTGGAAGCGAAACCCAAGAGCCAGATTTGTCTTCAGAGATTCCTGAGCAGGGGAGGAGGATTTCTTGGTGCAACATCCGACCAGAGCCTAGAGAATATGGACTTGAAGGGGGTGCTCCCGGTCCATTATAGCAGGACAGTACTTTGGGGATTGCAGCGGTTGTTTTGTCTTTGGTCTTAGCACTAGAAGACTGCTCATGCTAGGACTGCAGCGGATTTCTACTTCCGGTACATCCGGAAAACTGGCGAGATCTTGGCGGAGGTCGGAGTCCCTGCTGTTTCGGACAGATAACCCACTGGTCAATGCAGCAGTCCCTTTCAAGCCGCAGGGCAAAGGGGGAACATCATGTGCATCAGCCCCCTCTCCCCCCCCCGGCGAGCCTGTTTTCAAACAAAACGAGAACAACTTCTCGTTTGGTTTGAAAATTCATGCTTGTTTCCCCCCCGAACTTGTTTACAACCCAGACGAGACAACTTCTCGCTTGGTGTTTCCCCCTTTCCAAGACGGCAGGGGCCCAGCATCGTACGCATGAGCTCCCCCCCTCCAACCGAGCTGCGAAATTGCACTTCAGCTGAGTGGAGGGATTTAGGGGTGCTGGGGTGGGCTGGAGCAGACACATGACATGACAAACACATATAGACAAACACGCACAGACCAAGGAATAACCACACAGCAACAACCACATGCACATGCACATCGTACGTTGCTAACATGACGTAACACGAGCAGACACACACACACACACTCACACACCCTCCGGCCAGGAACACAGTCACACAGGTGTACACACACAGACACACACACAATCACACACGCACAGACACACACATACACACACACACACACACCAAGTTACCAATCTCTTCTCGTGAGTCAGTGACAGGAGATTGCCAAGATGACCCTGAAGAGCTTCAGTGTCCTCTGCGACGCAAGTCCCAAGGGCCACATGAGTGCTGCTAGGTCGCAGCAACTTTGTCGTCCGGAGTGCCAGAGCCATCACTAGCACCGTGTCTCCTAAATCTAAGGTTTGGCTTCCGGTGGTGTGCTGCAATGACTTTGCAGCAGTGGGCACTTTGCAAAAGATGGATCCCCACCACGTGAGTGAGGTGGATACTGCTACGAAGATGAAAGCTGCAGCCCAGATCGCCGGTGCTACAGCAGATCTCCTGGTGGCCGACCGGACCAGCGATGAACACAAGCCCAAAATGAATCTAGTCAATCAAAATCTTCCTTGCAACAGCCAGCTGTTATGTTTGGAGTACTTGAATCTGAACGCCGGGATGTTGGCTCCTGCTAAGGCCTCGCAAGATCAAAGAAGTGCACCAAAAGAAGCTTGCTGCCAAAGAGCAGCTGCAGGCCCTCCACAACTGCATCCAACATATGGGCATCAACTTCGACCAGCTCTGGCCGGATGAAAGCCTCCGTCCCATCAACCCGCTGATGGAGCAGCGGCTGTGTCACCGCTTTGAAGGGGAAGACAGGATGTATGTGCACAATGCGATGACCTCCGAGTGCCACTGGGAGCCTTTGAACGGGGCTCACTACCGCCTCGTCTTGGCACCGGACGAGGGATCCTCATTGTTCACGGGCTTTATGTTTTTGGCTTCGAAAGGAGCTGCCATTGGGTTCAACCGTGACGAGTGGTGTTCTGTCTGCACATTGCTTTCTCTCCAGTCTACAGGTTTGGCCTCCAAGGTTAGATGACTGCTTCGAGTAAGTATACACTTCGTTTGAAGTGTGCATTCCCAGCACGTTTCCAGCCAAGTCACAAGCTGCACAATGCCTGCAAGAGCGTCCTGCAGTCCACGAAAGTGATGAAGAGATCCTGGGCTGTGCTTTTGCATGGTCTCCTTAGGAAGGTTCTGTGTCACTATTACGCTAGTGAGTGGCTGTTTTCATATTTTCGGTACACTTCGTTTTGTGCCTACACTTGAAGCCTAGGAATGTACACGCTGACATCGTGGATATCACGCTGCCGACGATCCCCTTGGAATCAGCACGGGATTACATGTTCTCTAAAGGCTGCAGGGGAACGGTACTTGGATGTGGCAACTAGGCTGCCTTTAGGTTCCTATGTCCTAGGCAATCGGATCTGACATAAAAGAAGACTACGGGCATACACCCCAGCACACGCTATCAGACCAGGCAAGACCTGATGATGTATTGCAAGAGATGTTCGGCAAAGACATCCTTCTTGAGACTCTGCGCTGCAATCGCGATACCCATACTTCCCTAAGGTTCCCAAACAGAACCCCACTAACAGCCGACTTGCAGGAATGGCCTCGCGCCAACCGAGAACGAAGATGAGGACTTCGAAAATGTCGTCGGCATTCTCTCGAAGTTGGTGAAGCCACTCGGCTTTCACAATGCTTCTGTTTGTTCTCTTCGTGGCAACTGCTCTTTCTGAGTTGCCCCTGGGTTACCAGGGTCCTAGGCTATCGCAGTCTGATTCTTTTAGGTTGCACGACGATGGCTTCGACTTCTCGAGATGGTGCTCGTGGGCTCACACATCCAAAAGAACCCAATTCACTGGCACACTGCTGCTGTTGTTTTGGACTGGGATCGAGGCGGCTGAAACATCCCCTGTACAACCTAGGAAGGCCTACCCGAACTGGAAAGCCCCAGCTAACCTTCAGCACAACTCCCTGTGAGACCCTCTGTTCTGTGCAGGCCGGCGTCAACCCGTTCCACATTCTCTCCAAGCAGGCCGATGTGGAGGCTCCTGAATCCAGCTTCGAGAAAGTCGTGGATTTGACGGTTCGTGCAGCCCGGCTACATCGTTCGGGGTTTGCAGACTCTGACCTGCCCAAGCCCAACATAATAGCCATGATTCTCCCGTTTCCATCTGACTAAGGCACTCATGGATGAGCAAGTATATGCAATGTGGAAATCCACGCGGGTTTTGATGGAGCCCTTTCGCACGCTTTCTGTGCAATTGGCCACTCGACTGCAGACTCTGACAGGCTGTGTTTTTTGCATTGATCAGACACACACATGTAGTGAATGTAGTGTGCACAATAAACTAAGCAGCAGAATGCCCGCAAGCTGTGGCATCTGCATGGTCACGTGCACAACATGAGCATGAACGCCAACGTGGAAAAAATGCTCTCGGCCCTGGCCTCGCAGTGCTTGTCATCTGATGTCTTGGGACAGAAGCCCGATGTTGAAGTGGCTGGGAACGAGGCCATTGCTGCTGGGCAGCCCGCCCTATACCAAAGTTTGTTCGAGTACGCTTGTGCTGTCTGTAGGAGAACCAAGCTAGTGCCATGTGTTGCTACTAGAGTTCTGGGCTAACTACACTTGTTAGTTCTGTATTAGATTGTAGAACCCTAGATTAATATAGAGCCCATGAAACCCCCCTAACTAAACACCTAAACCCTAAACGCTAAAGCTTACCACTGGTCTTTTGAGCTATACGCTTAGAATAATCCTAAAAACGGGGTCCAGTGCGAGACTACGGGGCCCAAACTCTTCGTGAACATACACATGCAACAGGCCTGAGCTCCGTTCGGCAAATTCAAGTCGTGTTTCAAAGCTGCAGCTGCAGCACTCTGGCAACTCCTTCCCGACGAAACGCCCACATAATAACCGAGTTTGTTGTTCCTTTGCTTGGACACGAGCCCTGCTTCAGATCGTACTCGGTAAGACACACGAGTAAGTATCTTGTCATCATCCCAGGAACCCAAAGGCCCCTAAAGCTTAAAAACCCTGCAAGGCTCTACGTGTGAACTTTTCCAGGGACCCGCTGACAGCAGAAACGCTACTCGAGCAAGTGCTTGCCTACCTCGCATGCTGTTTCGAACTCCTGGAGTACGCCTCCTACCTCCGTTCCTTCCCTGCCTTGTCGGCTGCCCTCCTAGCTACAGAAAGCACAGAGGCCACTCGGGCACAGGTTCTGCAGGAAGCAAAAGCAGAGTGGAGCACGGTGTTGGACATGGAAAAATCGACAGCAGGGCAGCTTCTGCTCAAAAAGCACTGCTTGTTCACAACCTTCCAATGCTATCGCGAACTTCATTCTGTGTGCGAGCGACATGGATACAAATTCGTGGAGCAGATTGGGGAAGTGGTGAAAGCATGGTACCCTGCCTTCGGTCAGTCCAGCAACCTGGAAAACGTGTTTCGCGAAATGGAGTATGCTGTGCGGAAGTCTGGTGTGCCTCAGGACGATTTGACAAATCTGGGTTGTGTGGCTGTCCGAGCCTTGGGTCGCAGGATTTGCAATGAGTCCGAAGAGAAGCTTACACCGGCCACTCCCGAGTTGACTGAGAAGGACTGGGAGGGCAAAGAGGTCAGGGCGCTGAAGCACAAAATTTGGAGCCCCACTTCGGCCCTGCCGTGTGCCTTGCATCACACGATCAAAGGAAAACTGCTAGCTAGCAAAGATTCGCAGTGTTGTTTTAAATTTTCGCCTTCAGACAATGTGCAAATCATGGTGCCGTCCAGGCAAGAACATCCGCTTGGAGGAAATCTTGAAGCCGTTCGCAACCACGTCTGCCCATCACTTGACCCATCACGGGCTTAATTGCCTGCTCGCCTGGAAATCAGCCTTCAAGCTACCCCGGTTGAGTTTAACAGATTCTGTACACACCAATCTTTGTGCTACATGGTAGCTAGACCTAGCTTGTTCTTTTGATTTCTCCATGTCAGGAATGGAGAAAGCCCGATCGACGCCTCGAACCACTTCTGGGTTGCAAGCTGCTTTGAGAGAGGAGTTGTTTTTCGGCACGAGGGCAAATTCTTCATGTGCACAGGCAACACCTATGCTGTGATTCATGTCTCCTGGATTCATTTGCTGGCCATAATTACAATTAACTTTCCGCATCAACAGTTTTGGTTGGTCTAATGAGAAACAGGGACCGGGGAAGACTAGTCGTGTTCTATTCGCAATTTCCTGATTCTGACACCTAACCTGAGGCTATCGCTTTGCAAGAGCTTCCGTGGTGCTTCAAAGGGCCCCTGCCACCCGCAAGCGGCAAGGAGATCTCCTGTGCTGGCAAGGCCAAAAGAAAGACTGAGGATCCTTTCCAACACTCAGAGGATTCCACGCCGGCCCTGTGCTTCCTGAGTGGGCCGCAACTTTGACGAATGTGTTTCTTCTTGCTTTTGACGTTATAAATAAGAAGGAGCTCCGTGTTTCTTGTCTTTGCCACAATTTTGCTTTATTTCTTTGCAACAGAAGCACACAACAAGGAACATCTTTCGACATGTTCGCATGACACCGCAGCAGGTCACTAGATCTGCACATCATTCGTTTAATTTTCATTCGAGGTACTAGGAAAAGCAGAAGAGAACCACTAATATCCGCGATGCCTGGGCTTCATTCCCTCTTCAGGCTGAGATCTTTCAGTGCACTTTCCACGTTGCAGATGCTGCCCTTGCTGCAAAGACAGGCAGCATTGTGATTCGGAGGGCCCCAAGGGGCTGGAGCCTCCTGGTGTTTTTGTTTCGAACAGAACGCATTCTTACAATCACATCAGCTGCACTGACTGAGCTTCTCCTTTTGGAGGGCATGAGATTGCCGAAGAACGCTGCAAAAGCAGCGAAGATCAGAAAGCTCATGGAGTCTACTTCTGTGGCCGAGCACACAGATCAGAACTTGAGGGACAAGATCGAAGCACAGCTTTTGCATCAAGATCAAAAGAAAAAGCGAAAGGGCGATACAGGCGATGAGCAAGATGAAGAGGGCGACGTGGAGCAGGCCTCCAAACATTGCCAGTCGGGTTGTACTTCATGTCCTCAAACCCCGAAAGCAAAGACTTGCTTTTTGTTCGGTTTGTGTCAGAATCCCCAAGCAGGCAGAGCAGGAGATCGATCCTGCTTGTGTTGCTTGTGAGCAGCTTCTCGCTGACCTGGACAGAGAGGAGGAGGCTGACCGAGTGGACGCGACTGGGCCGATTTTTAACATCTGTTCCCGTGTCAATTACAAAATAAATGTTCTAGACCTTTGCAAACTAACACAAAGAAAGCATTCCACAGACCCACATTGAGTATTTGTTCCCAGAATTCTGTCGGTGACGAACCCTTACTGAACGTGTCTTTCTTGGTTGTTTGCACACCTAAGTCAATGATCCCAAGGAAGAAGGGGAAGCTGCAGTGGAAACTGCAGAGGAAAAGGATGCGCGGCTGCGGGCTTCAAGGGCTCTCTTGACAAAGAGCAGTGCTGTTCCGAGCTTTCTTGTGGAGAAGTTTGCGGTTCCGGCTTGGGGCTTGATACACCATACCGTATCGAAAGATTCAGCCAGTCCTCTGTTTCAAGCGAAGCTGGCGGGCAAGGACATCTTCGAAGGGAAGAAACTCGGCTGAAACATTGAAGTTTCGTTGTTACCTCGAAGTCCTTTTTAGGTAATACTGTACCAAGCTTTCAATCAAAGCAACAACTGATCACAAGGAACAGCTGTGCTTGCTCATACAACAATGCCCTGGACAAGAACTTGCTTGACGAGTCGAAGCCCTTACCGAAGCAGCTGCCGCCGGGGAGGAGAT